ATTTAAGAAAATTGAAATACCTTAAGTATAAAATTATTTCATCACTATATCAAAATGACAATTCTAATTTCCTTCCAATGCCTAATTATTTAAAATAAACATGTAACCAAATGATTTTAGTTTCCCATTTTCACTCTCATTAATGTCCTCCTTTGAATGATTGGTGATAGTGTCAATAATCTACACAGGAGAAGCTGATGATATGAACAAAACAGATAGGACCACAAATGGGGGAGGCAGAAACAGATATCTCTGAAGAAAATGCAACAGAATTTGATGAATGACTAGAAGAAAGAAAGCAATTAACAGAAATTTCCATGTGTTCTGACTGAAAAACTGAAAAAATAATGGTGAACTCTAGATGTTTGGAAAGTTGGAAGTGTTGAAAAAATCAGTTATACAAATCAACTTTTTTTGGCTGCAAAGTGCAGTGACACTAGCTCATATCAATGCAACCAACTTGTTTTTAAGAAACACATGTAAACCATTTGAGTTCACTTATACAGGTTAATTTAGTTCAGGCCTGAATTTGTTTTTAAGTTTAGTTGTGCTTTTGAGGCTGCATCTTTCTTTTTCTCTTATTCAAAAGTAGATACTATTTTTTCTTTCCATCATTATTATGTTTTACTGATACGTGTTTGCGGTACGTGATGATCACAGGTGCCGTGGGAGTTTGTACACGCATCTTTCATATGCATCTTAGATCTCTTTTTGTCCCCTTTCCCTATCATCCTTCCTGGCTGCTGCCAACTTTTGTGCCCCTAATTTGAATAATTAGAAATTTTGTACATGCTGAAATATTTGTTTCTTCTGCAAGTGGGAACTCACAGAGCAGTTTTACAGATGAGAAACTAATGCCAGAACAGTTAGTGTGTTGCTGTGAATGTGGAAAATAACAGGAAGTAACACCACGGAGCACACAGCCTGTGCCCGGCTCTGTCCTCCAGAGCGGTGTCTACTGACTGCCTGTCCTTCCCAGCAGAGGCTGTCTAGACAGTGCTGTAGCATCACCGTGCCCATTTTGCAGAGGGAAGACGAGACCCACGGAGGTGAAGAAATATCTTAAGTGCAAGAGATGGGATTTGAACCCATGCCTTTGTGCTCAAGGGTCTTTTATTTATCATTGCACACTGTCCATCATAGAGGAGAGGTCAGGAGGAAAGAGGTTTTATTCTGAAGATTATGCATAAAATAGAGTATCTGGAGAAATTGCTTTAGAAATCCTTTCACACATGTAAAGAAAACTTGTTCACTGCAGGTAATTTGAAATCCTCTTGATTCAGCTGATCAATAATAATCAAATAATAATCCCATTTAGGGATATACTTAAAATGATTTTTCCAAAATTTCTTTAGGGAAGAATAAAGCTCAGTCTTTGAAATTACACAAATAGACTTAAAATTGAAACATAAAAATAAAAATTAAAATTAAACCTCCATTGGGTTTAATAAGTAGGCAGGCATCTGTAGTCTAGAAGTATCACTGGGGAAAATATATTCTTATATATTATCTTCTAGTGTGAGCACTTAAGAATAAATGAAAACTAAAAAGGAATTTATAAGATATTTTCTAGCAACTGGTAAACATCAAGCAAAATTCCTGTTACTTTTTTAATATTATCACGCAGACAACATTAACGTTATGTCTTCCACTTTGTGAATAATAAATAAATTTTAGACTACCCAAATACTGCACCTAAGGGTTACTATTGAAGGGCAAGGGTTTTAGAGGAATGTGCTTTACTTATGTGATGGTTCCTGCACACTGAATTGAAACCTTAAAAGATTTACTTGCTTTTAATAGAAATTGATAGCCACAGAGAGCCTTGTACAATTGATGAAACTCTTGAATAACAAGGTTCTACGCAAAGTAGGAACCAAATATAATGTTTTAATATAACTGCATGCAGTGAAAGAGATCATCTTTTGAAGTGGGAAATCAAGCACTTTTTCTAGATGTCAGCAGACCTCTTGGGCATAGAAGGGCAAGGGTTTACAGGGCGGAGGGTTGTCTGCCTCCAGCTTCCGTGTCCAGGACAACGCAGCTCCAGGGTTGTATCAGGACAAAGCGGCCCGGATTCAATGCCCACCTCTACGTGGTGAGTAGTATTGAACTCCTTGTAGCCGTTTTTACAGTATTGTTTCGTGTCTTAGTTTAGGAAGCTTACAAAAGAAAAAAAGAAAATGCATTATGTTCCTAGGAAATGATTGGCCATATAGAAAGGTAGGTTTTGAGGAAAATATATATATAATAAAAAAGGAAATGCTTTTTGAACAAAAAAATAAGTGTTTTCTTTCATTTTAAATGCATTTACTGTGAAGACAACTATCTTTAAAATATCTCTTTTACATAAACATTCTTATTAATACTTTTGTTTAAATTCATTTTGTCAGAGTTTTACCTCTTTCTTAGTATTCTGTTCTTGTGTTTATTCTTTTATCTGTTTGTTTGTTTGATTTTTGAGAATCGGTCTTGCTATGTAGCTCAGGCTGGTCTTGAACTCACTATGTAGCTCAGGCTGGCCTGGAACTCACAGCTTTCCTCCTGCCTCGGCTTCCTAAGTGCTAGAATTGCAGGCATGTGCCACCACACCCGGCAGGATTTTGGTGTTATTACTTTATTTAGCACACTTTTCCATAGATGTCTTTCATAAAAACCTAGAATGGACATATACCAAGGAATATTTAAAATGTGTGACTATTACTTTCTCACACTTAATCTTCTTCATTTCCTCTTTCTTACCTCGGAGTATGCCTGCTGAACAATAATGCATTTTTTTCCTTTACATTTATTGGTACATTTTAGGTATAAAATATGATGACATTCATCATTGGGAATTTGTACCTTTGCGTGATGTATCTTGCTTCTTATTTTTTCCCCATTCCCTTGCCCTCCATTCAACCCCTCCACTCCTCCCTATTTACAAAGACTTTGTTTCTGTTTTCTCCCTTTCTCATATTAATTCCATTCCCTTTTTTCCCTTCCTCTACCTCTCCCACTTCCCCTTCCCCTTTGGACCCTTTCTTCCTATTTCACATTATCTAATCAAAAGGTCTGATAGTGAATTTTATACTTCATACAACTTCAAGATAAAACCAACCCCAAACGAATCTACTCTACTCATTTTAAAGATAAATGACTGAAAATCTCTACTTGAATCGGTACTGAATTCAAACAAAAACCCTGAAACACTTTGAAATGCAGTTCTATGCATCTATTTGTAGATGGGTGTCATTAAATCCTTCGCCATAAACTCTTATCTTTTACAATGATAGTTAACATGCTTTTGACCATGTGATATTTAAGTTAATAAAACAAAAGTTATAGAGCTGAAACTTATAAAGCTGGAAAGAAAGGAAAATACAATGCAATGAAACCACTTCATATATAAAACTCGAAACAGGACACTTATTACACACAAAGCAATATTGAGGCTTAAACTCACCTTAAATTCTCTGAATTCGGGGCTGTAACTATAGAACCTCGGGGCCTGCAGGGATTTTGATGACATCATATTGTTCCACCCCCACTGCTAGTCTGAATTCCTCTGATGCTATCTTATCAGGACACTGATCCAGTAACTGCCATTTAAGTTATTTACTAATTCTTGAGATGAGATGGTCATTCATTTTCGACTATCTCAAATCAAACAATATTGTGCAGAAAGATATTTAAACTTTGGAGCGCACGCTTAATCCTGATGCCCTAAGGCTGGGTGGAGGAGAATAAGGATGGGATTGTGGACCGGGATGGGCAGACTAAAGGGTGATGAGGTTGGACCTAGGACTTAGCTCTCCTCCCTCTTGGATTTCCGCTCTCCTTACTCTTTCTGATCCTTCTACCAACATGCTGTAAACTCTCTGTGTGACTCTAAGGTGTGGCACTAGGGGCTGAAGCAAGACCCATGAGTGACTCGTTCCCTGTAGGACAAAGCACAGCCCCGTTCTAGGCACGTTCCCGTCAGTTTTCACAGTGGTTTCAATCCACCTGGGCAGATTCTGCCTTTGTTTCCTGTTGCTCTCTGTTAGTTTGTTGTGTACCGCTTCTGAATTTCGTCTGATTCTGATATTCGGCCAGGGTGAACGATTCCTGGACCAAGATTGGTGTTTCTGGTACTGGGGATCGAACTCGGGTCCTTGCTCTTGCGAAGCAGGTGGCAGAACCACTGAGCTAAATCCCCAGTCCAAGATTAGTGTTTCTTAATACTATGTTTTCAATTTTAATAGTTACAGGAACTCCTTAATCTCACGCCAACTTTGTGTTTGACGTGTTTGCACGGACTGCTTCTAAATGAAAGCTCCAATTTCTGAATGAGCACATGTGATTTTTTACAGTTGAGGTCAAAGTTTTATTTATTCGGTTTAATTTTGAGCTTTTTATGTTCCTATTAATCCTTCAGATATTTATGTTTTCTGCTTATGTTTTCCAGTATTTGCACTATTTCCTTAGGTTTCCATTTTCAGGGAGTATTTCCGCATCTTTGCCTAAATTTAATAAAATTGCTGAGAGGGTATAATCCAGAAAGGAATTCTGCAGAAACCTGTGAGAACGTTCTCTCTGGAGTTGACGTGTCCTTTGGGGGCGGACACTCAAGTACTTTCGAATCTGCCCTTTAACACTAGAGACCTTGCCCAGCTCTCTGCTTGATTTTAAAAGTACTTTAGACTGCTTCAGCGGGTGGCTTCCAGGAAAGTGATGTATTATACGCCAAGGCTGGTAATTCCTAGTATTATTTTATAAGATAAATTTAGCATTGAGCTAAATGCCATAAGAAAGTTCACAATCGAAATTCTTCTTCAAAGCATACTTTAAAAGGATTAGGAAAAAATATTTCTTTTATGGGATTACATGTCTTCAACATGTCGAATCTCAGTGTCGACACACGTATTATTAAATAGCAAAATGACTATTTTTAAAGGGATATTGCTAATACACAATATACTTTGTTTGCTACCATGATAATAGTTTTCAGCAATGAACCAAAAAAATGAGATTCTTACCCCAAATACTGGAAGCTTTGGTGGATTGGGAGGTTAGAGACTTGGTGTTTTTGGTAACAAGTGGAGCAGGTGTGGTTCTATGACCATCCACCTGGACATCACTCACTGAAAAAAATATGGCCAATTAAAGCATGTGAGCATTGTCACAATTCTGTAGCTGTATACATGATACAGAGCTTGAAGAAGAGTAGAGTTCTAGAAATTTTAGTCACATCGCTACATTAAATTTGCCGGTACTAAACTTTAAATATACATGTATATTATAGGATAATAATTTCAGGAGGAATTTTGGAGTTCATGGTCAACAATGTCCAGCTATTAATATTCAGACTGCCCTGCTGTGTTACATGAGCAAACAAAACAAGCTGATTTTAAGCGGTTGTTTCCACATATTGATTTACCCTCAAATTTTCATAAGAATAGGGATTTCAGAAACCCAACCATTATGCCAAAAGTATACCGCAGTATTCTGAGGAGGGCAAATGAAATATATAAAAGTAATTACATGGCTGAAACAAAACCTGGATCAATCTGATCATCTCTGATGCTTTATTTGTAAAAGGAGGCTTATCACGTGGAAAACGAACTTACTTGGAAGGTCGCAGGTGCTCTTGCATTCTTCCAGGGACTCAAAGTTGTTTAGGTTGCCTAGGCATCCACCATATGCGAAAGGCTCACATTGTCTTGTCTGATTGTTATAAAAGTATCTGGTAATATAAGCTCGACAGATTCCAACATCATCTTCCAAAAAGCATAAATCTGGTTTTCCTGAAAATTGTCACAGTGTCAGAAGGCAATATTCTCTTCTTTTGGTAAATACTTTATTTACTTAATTAGAAATATTTAGTAATTTAATGGGTAAATGTGACAAATTAAGATGTAAAAACATAACTTCACTGGAAATTATACAATATTACAATTATCTACTATGTGTTTTGTGGTGCCTAGAAAATGAAGACACATTATTGTCACACAAATTTTCATAATTGACATTTTAAATTCTATATTCTCATCTGAATAAGTAGAGAATTAATTAACAGGTTTTTTTCATGTACTGAATCATTTAAAAATATTAGACTATTTTCTCATGTGCTACTCATGCTTTGGAAGTACAAAATAATACGTCCAACTTTGGTTTAATTATTAATATTGAGCTTATGTGCATCAGTATTTAGGCAAGGTTTATGCAGACTCTGTTGCTGAAGTGTGAGAGTTCTTAGAGAAATCAGTGCTATGTGATCTTCATTAGGAATGGTTTAAAGTTTACAATTTGGAAAAGATTTGAGAAGTACGGAAGCTTTCATGGCTATTCTTAGAAGTTCCTGGATTCTTTTTTTATGCTAGAATTAATATCTGTGCTAGATATCACATCCTCCCCTACTGTGATTTTTTTCCTCCCAAGTATTGGAACTATTCCAACAGCACAGAAGCAGAAAGGAAATACATGTTCAGGGATTGAAGAGGCTTTTGCAAAAGTCCAAGAGCCCTTCTTTGATAGAGTTCCAAGCCATGCTAAGCACAGCTGTCACCAAAGTTGTGATATTCTGATCAGCATTTAAGTTCTGTGTGCACTCTAACTCTCTAAAGAGAAGTGAGCTAATTATCCAACATGCTGTAATCATGAGACTTATTGGACTTGAATATTTTGGACAAAGCTCCAATTTCTATATTTTTCCACCAAGTATGTACACCACATCTTCTCCTCCACTCATCTGTTGGTGAACACCTAAGTCTCCTTCCTCATCTTGGCTATTGTGTAATGCCCCAGTAAATGTGAAAGTGTATTAAGCTCATTTCCCTTTGCTATATACCCAGTATATATCAGGTTGCAGGATCATGTAGTAGCTCTCTCTCAAATTTTAAATTTTTGAAAACCTCTTTATTGTTTTCCATAAGGAAATAAAAAATTTTAGCCTACCAAGAGTGCACTCTTTTGTCTTTTGGTAATAGCCATTCTAGTAGGAGTGAAGAGCTATCTCAAGTTGGGTTTTCTTTGATTAGTGCTGTTGGGCATTCTTCATCTCATATAATTGTTTTTTCAAAGTGAATGTTACTCTTATTTGTGGTTAAGTGTAACAAACAAGGACATGACAAAAATTATTTAAATTTCATAATGCCTTTTCATAAGAGAAACAAAATACATTGAATTACTACCATTTCCATTAGTTTTAGTTACCATGCACTTTTAAAGTTTAAATAATTTTAACATGCGAATTCTATGTTCAACAAAAGTGAGAGAATTATTTTTACGTATTTTCACAAAAAGAAAAAAATGGTAAAATTTATGCTGATTTGCATGATTAATAAACTGAAAGTTGTTATCATTTAAATAAGTTCTCAGTAATGGACATACATTTATTTTAGGAAGAAGCAACACATGCCAAAAAATTCTTCCTAGGACCACAATTAAAAATATTATTACAGAGCAAGAAGTTAATTGTTTATACCTTTGGAGAAACACAAGTGCTGTACTTCTGCATTTGCCTACACTCTTCCTCTAATCTGGTGTTTGAAGTTTAGTATCTCCAAATGTAGACTGCATATACCATACACCAACTTTCACAGGGCATAAAATTTTAAATGTTAGTTTTCACATGGGCCTGAATAGCTGGAATTTGCCTGAGAGTCAAAGTTCTTCCCAAAGGACTGTAATGAATGCCCACTGTCCTTACAACCACTGGATCACATCACTAAAGTCAACTTCAAGTTGACAGAAGGCTTTCGTATGGATTTGTTTGAGCACATTCAGTTCTATAACGTGTGAATAAAGCTTTGTTTTCTAACTTTCATGTGTAATATCAATTAAGAATGAATGACTTTTCAGTTATTCTATCTCTCTACCGCTCTTTCCCTATCATTTCTGTCATCTGTATATCCATCTCTTTCACCTTTTGTCTATCCATCCACCCATCCATCCATCTTCTGTATTTGTTATTGAACACTTTGTTGGAATGACATCCCCAGCCTTTTCCTATTTTGTATTTTGAGATCAGCTTTCACTGAATTGCCCAGGCTGGAGCGCCAACTTGAGAACCACTGATTTTTCCAAATCATCTTCCAGGAGTGCTGGGATTCTAGGCAGGCACGGCCACATCTGGCCTACATGTTTACTTTATAGCATAATTTACAGCAAAATTTTGGTCTACACATTTTTTAATACTATGTTTTTGGAAAAAGATCTTAATACCTAGACCTTAATACCTAGGACCTAGGCCTTAACACCTATATTGCCACTTTTTTCTTTCCTGAAAATATCTTCTTTTACTTAGTGGACAGAACCTCATTTATAAAAGAGCTATATTCTTTGAGAATATTTCATTTAATTCGTATAATGAACATTTTTTCAAGATTAATTCAATACCTACAAGAAATTATTCTTAAAATAGTAAATAATCACCTATATTTGTGTGCACTATCTGTAAAATCTTGGACACTGGATTTGCATTTTACATTTTGACTCAAATTCTGATCACTAAATTAAGCCTCAAAATTAAACTGAATAAAGAAACTTTACAACTCCTTCCCACATGATTAAATAAAAATTAGTAAAATTTTAAATTATGTAATCTCTCATGTCTTCAGTTAAATAACACATCTCCATTTAGTATTTTCTCACTTAACTGTAATTGCTATCAATGATAATTGGATTAAGACATTTATTAAAACATGATTGGTTTATTTGGTCTGTTGTTAGCCTTTGGGCTGATATATTCACTAAAACGTAATTATTTCTTGTTATCAATAATAAATAAAGCAATTTAAATCACAAAATCAAAGATGTACCCACCCAGTAAATGATGTTGACAAAGGCAATCATTTGTTACTAAATCTCTCCAGAGATGTTTGCATACAGAATTGTTGATAACTCAAAGATACACCTCTGTTTCGGGGAAATATTGGCTGTAACTTGTTAAGCCACATGGTACCAACATTCACGCAGGATTAAAGAATGGAGAACTGAAACAAGACGAGCAACATCTCCATTGCTATCTGGAAACTGTTTGAATAGCACATGAATCTTTGGACTGAGTCGTCTGACACTAAATATTGTGCTGTGTTTAGATGCAAATGAACACAGTGTGTGGAAACTCTTCCACCCAATCTCATGTATATGGTTTGTCATTTCTCATTATACCTCTAACCAAGACATCATTTCACATATCATATGGCTTATGATCAGCCCTGTAACAGAAAAGCCTAAAAATGTTAATATCTAGGTGCCTTAAATAAGTTCTACAACTATACAAATACATGAATAGTTAGTTACCTTTTTCCAAAGTCGACTTCTTCAGTGGTGAAAATTCTGCAAGAAAAACAAACCATGTGTATCAGTTGCCAGAATTTATAAGGGAAAATCAGTTTCAAATTTAATGAATTAGGACCATATACTCATTATCATTGAAAATTCTTCATATAACATAACATCTTAAAAGAAATCAAAGTTATCTTTTCCAAATATTGTTAGTTATTATAATGAAAACATTACTTATAGCAATAAATTTGTTTTTTAAGTGATACAAAAGACAAGGTTGCACATATTAATGGGATAAGATATGATGTTTTAACATACTGTATGATGTTAAATGAGGTTAAACATGTCTGTCTTCCAGACATTCATCAGTGCTCTCTGGAGCCACTGTGCAGTGCCCATCTGTAAATGCACATTTGCTGGTCCATCTCCTCCTCTTTTAGGTGCTTCCTCGGCCTCACTACTTTTCCCAGTCTCTCATACCCACCATTCTCCTCTCAACTTGTAGGAGATCAATGTTTTTAGCTTGCACATATGACTGAGGTCGCACTGGCCTTGGCTCACTGTGCCTGGCTTATTTCACATAATATTATCTGTAGTTCTCTCCATGCTGCTACAAATGACAGAATTTCATCTTTTACTTTTGTTGTTGGGGAAGAGCTGGTGTGCTTTATTTTAAACTCTCTATCATGTTGTCTTTAAGTTTATCAACCTTTTCTTCTGCAGTTTCTAATCAACTCTTAGTACATCCGCTAAATTTCCTGATTCATGCATGGCAGGCTTCAAGTCCAGAATTTTCATTTAGTTCTCTTTTATAGATTGCATTTTCTCCCTATTCCCATTTTCTTTAAATTCTGCAGTACAGTAGTAATAGTTATTTTAAAGTTCTTCTCTGCTAATTTCATCACCTTTATTATTTTTGCCTGTTTGAATAGAGTTGCTTTTCTCCTAGTTGAGTCAGTTTGAATTTTCTTTAAATGCTTCATATTTTGAAGGGCAGATTATAAATATTTTCCAATATTGAAGTTTTAGTCCATGGATTTTATTGTCTTCCTTTGAAATATGCTCAAGTTCCTTTTGTCCGGTTGTTATTTGAAGTTTGTTTTTAAGCACTCTCAGGGCAAGTCTGAAGTGGCTTCTACTCAAGGGATAATGTAGTCCTAACATTAAGTTAAATATTAAATTCTTCTCAAAATTGTTTCAGTTAAAAGTTATTGAATTAATAACCAAGTAAATGCAGATTTTTTAATTCAGTGAAAATTCAAAGAGGTTGCTATCTAGATTTCTGAGGGTGTTTTCCTCTGCATGAGTTTATTTTCTGTCACACTGTTCTGAAAATCCCAGCTGTCTTCATTTCCTTTCCTCATCCTGTAACAACGCCGTCATGGGATTTCCCTTCCTTCACCCATCCTCGGCGATTTCCTGCAGAGTGCAGGGACAGGAGGGCCCCTGTCTTGTGTTTCTCTTCTTTCAGATATTACAATCCTGCACTAACTTTTAATCAATGTCTGTAAATAGTTGATTGATGTATTTTGTTCGTATTCTTTTTCGATACTTATGTAAGGAAAGACAGGTCCATTTCTATTTATTCTACCATGGCTAAAGAAAGCATTTTCTCTTTCCGTAATTTTTTTTAAAGTCTGGTAGTTCTTTTTTCCCATATGCCTGCTGTAACCTTAACAGTACCTTATTAAAAAACACAGACATTCACGCAATCATATTAAAAAGAATTTGAAGAGATAATACGATGGAGACGAGGGCCCGAGATTCACATTGATTTGTATGCTAGACCATAATGATGTCTAAAACGTACAAGTGGCCTGTCACTGAAGAACCAAACGATTATGTATTTGATAGATTTTAAGGAAAACAATTTTTTGTGCAATGTTGAAATAAGACATGCTGAGCTATTAAAGAAAGAAGGAGGAACAGGTCTAAATTTTAGAGAAGTGACCAGTTGATGAAAATAAGTAGACTGCTAAATAAAAGAGTGAGGATTACAAAGAATGAGCCAACTAGGACTGTAGCCAAGGTACTGAAGACTAAGTGGTTTTTTCACTCCACACAAAAGGACAGCTGGCCCAACATATATGGAAGGAATTAGGGTATAGAAACCGTGATGAATGAACAATGACCAGCCAATCACAAGCAACCATGGCTCCACCAATGACCACTGAGCTGCCTGGTGGGTGTCAGTAATGTTTCTAGAGCTTCGACAGAGAGCTAAGAGAAGGAAATGCTCTGAAGTAAAATATATTCCGGTCAGTTCTCCTCTGTCAGCTCAGTATACAACAAAACATCTCACAGAGTCACAGAGCGGCGATGGTCCCTGTTTCCACACTGAGACTTCCTTCCTAGGCCAAGAGCGCCACAATGCCAAGTCTGTAGCGAAAACCTAAACAGCTTTGGAAAGCCTGAGAAAGGACAGCTGCTTGCTTTGCAAAAACAAAAATAACAATAAAAACAACAAAGAGTCCAGAATTTCTAGTGTGACACATTAGAGACGTCATCTCCAGCGTACTACAATTCCATTTGACCAGCGTTGAGAACGTGCTATAGGGGTGGGTATCTGGCTAGAAACTGGGGCGTTAAAGCGACTCAGAGTTTTCTCTCTTGAGTAACTCACAATTCAGAAAAAGGAAGTGAGATAAGAACATTCAAAATTTTGACCAGTGTTTTCCAATTAGTAGCTAGAGAACCTCAAAGTGAATTCTCAGATTCTTTGTCTGTAGAGCAGGAAGTCCTGAGGTCACCGTGCTGTCAGAGGTCGGACTAAGTCATCCTGACCTACCTTTCCTTGCCCAGTCACAGCTACCAGGGTGGCTTAATTACTCTTGTCATTGCAAATGCAAAACTGTCTTGGCTCTTGAGAGCTTTTCTTTCTTCTTTGTTATGAGAAATGGAGGACAATAAACGAGGCCTAATAATTGCACAACAACATACATGAAACAATGAAAACCGTACACGAGCACGATAGCTAAAACCGTGGAGCGAAAGATTCCTTGGGAATATTGAGTATTTCATTACTATTTTCTAGAAGCATCAAATTCGTGATCAGACCCAAGACACACGAAGGTTGCTGGACGGAAACCCACCTTCTAAACACGTTGCTTTGCACTCCTCCACACTATCAAATCGATTCTCATTTCCTTGACATCCTCCATATATAAATTCTTCACACTCAAAAGTTAAAATATTGAAATAAAATCTCTTCATCAGTGCTTTGCACGGCCCATCATCTGCCCTCATGGCACAAAACGTGAACACCGGTTTCCGTCCTGCCACTTTCGGATCCACTGGGGGAGAAAACAAAAAGGTAACACTCCAACAACATTACAAGGATATTTTCGCTTTCATTTTTTGTTTAAATTAACTTTATTGGCACACTTTAGGTATACATTGTGATCACATTCATCAAGAATTTGTCCCTATACCTGAGATATTTTAGTTCTTGTTTTTTCCAATCCTCTTCCCTCCCTTCCACCCCTCCACTCCTCCCTGTCTACAAAAGATTTGTTTCCACTTTTTCCTTCTTTTATCATATTTTTTCTTTCCATTCTTTCCTCCCCTCCCACTTCCCCTTCCCATTGGAACCTTTGTTTCCTATTTTACATAATCTACTATACACTTTGGTCCTCATTTACACTTTCAGTTTCTCCCCGCAGAGAGACAATTCAATATTTGCACGTGTGTCCTATTAATTTCACTTAAGAATATGGCCTCAATGTGCATCCATATAGCTTTAAATGTCTCTAGTTTATCATTCTTCACTGCTGAGTAGTACTCTATTTCTTTTCTAATATGTCTCGATTTTAAAAAAAGCATAACAGCAACAAAATGGGCTCATAAGAAACCATGGAACATTATTTGGTTATCAAAAAGATCTGTTTACTAAATTCACTATGTTAGACATATCAGTATTTTTATCAACTATTAAAGCTTAACATCATTTATCAGAGAAAAATAATTTTTTGAGACTCTTTAATAGTTATTACTTAAATCTGACCAACGGTTAGAGATGGAATTAAATTTTTGTTGTAAGGCAACCCCACTCGAATGACTGCATCTACATTACAAGTAAGTAGAGAGCTAATCCTTTAATCCAGCAGTTTTAGTGGCAGATGCAGATGAAGGATTTTTGGGCCTTCTCCCTAATCCACAGTTTTGTTTTTGTACATAAGCATCTTTAAAAACAGCAATATAATTGAAAGCACACACACACACACACACACACACACACACGCGCGTAGGGAGCACATGTATATAAATACAAGAACTGGCTACACTGGCACAGGCCTCTAATCCCAGCAACTCAGGAGGCTGATGGGGCCAACTGCAAGTTAGAGCCCAGCCTGGCCTGCTTGGTGATCCTCTGTCTCAAAATAAAAAATAAAAGGGGCTGGGAATGTAACCCAGTGAATCAGTGCTTGCCTAGAATGTGAAAGGCCCTGGGTTCACTCCCCACTACAAGAAAGCCTCTGAATATATAAAAATGAACATAATTTCAGGTGTTTATGTTACAGAATGAATATGTTGTATTCTTTTCCTTATCATAATTTATGTTTAATAGTACTGAAAAGCCTTAATCAATGCAGTTTTCTATAGAATGAGACAAGTCTCTGAACTTGGAGCTATCCATTTTTAATCTAAATGTTCAGCGACCTCTTTTATTCACAGAATTATGTCCTGACATGAGAAGGGATATGCAGGTTGAGGAATTTAACCACGCTTTTCATGTGGATTTTATTAAGTCTAGTGATATTAATAAAGGCCTGATTTTTTAAACATTACATTCATTTACAGAAATTACCAGTAAGCTAGATTGAAATTATACGTGTGGATGGGGAGGGTGGCTGAGGAGATCGTGATTCAATCAGAAAATTTCATTTGGATACTAGGAATTGATGAAGAGCTCTGTGTACAACTTGGTGATGACAGCTAATAGTGTATTTTATGCTTGAAAAATGCTAAGAATGGATATAGTGTTCTCATCAAAAAGTGATATAATGAAACATTGCATATGTAATATTACATGTAATGTGTTATATAGGCGTTATGTGTTATATGTAATACACATGTGTGATGCATACCACATATGTGATGCACACATATGTTAATGAACTGGGTTTAGTCATTCCCCACTGCATATGTGCTTTAAAACCTGGCATATATCGTAAACACACACAATCTCCTCTGTCATTGAAGAAAGAACTAAAAATAAAAAAAGAAAGGAAAATGTGACCGGTGCAGCCAAAATAATGATCAAAGAGCACCAAAGAGTGCCGTGAGTATGGTCTATACATACTCAGTCCGTGTAATTTCTGTCTTTGGGAATTGATTATTGATTCTGTGAGTGGGGTATATAAGTCTTTGAATTATCTGTGCTACTTTGCCCTCTCAAGGACACAGTAGTCTATTCGATTAAAACCAGTCTAGGTAGCATCGAAACATTGCTTTAATACACTATAAAATGAATGCGTGTCACTTTAACATTTTCACATAAAACACATCAAAAATGTGGAAGACGATGCTAACTTTGTGAACAAGCCATCTAGAGGTAACTCTACTGTAACTTCAAAATTTAGAGGCGAATTTTTGAAAGACTATGTGCATATGCACAAGTTGGATTAGAAACTTTTGAGTATCTTCCACTGTGAATATTTTGTTATTCCAAAAATTCATATTTAATTAATATCAATTAATAGCCATATTTTAGTAATTTTAAGATTATAAAACAAAGAAATTGAGATGTTGCAGCTTATTTTTACGTGAGGCGAAAATGATAGTCTTTGCCAACCTGGATTAGGGTGTTGCTGTCCATACGTAGGCTGACAGTTTGATGCTAACTGACATGTGGCACTATTCATGAACATGTAAATTTTATCTCAGCTAATGATACAACTTTTAATTTCAAAACATGCATTTAATGTACAAACTCTCACCTTACTGCTTTGATCTATTGAAAAACTGCACAGACTTTTCAGTGAAGCAAACTGATCTGACAAAAATAATAGAGCAGTGAATTTTCCAGACCAGAAATGCAATAAGCAAGAACCCACATATGGAATGCACCAAACACAGTTGTTGTGAATTGCATAACTGGCAAGTTATAATATTAATTCAATTTTAACTAAAACTGAACTTTATGCACCCCAGAATTTGCATGTTATCAGATTTTCAGTGGGCAAAATGCAAATTTTGTATTTTGCAAAATTGCTCTGTTGATTTTTTTACCTATGGCATAGTATGCATACATTTAACATATGTAATTATTGAATTACATTATTAAATTACTGTACATAATACAGTAATATATTATATAAATAATTTTACAGAGGTAATAGTTATTAAAATATACACATTTAAATGTCATTTCTTTTTCTGACGCTAACATTTTGTGCTATGATCTTGTCTGAAGCATAGCTCTAATAGTTCTCTCAGACACATCCAGAATTTCTGCTATCTACAAATATGGGTGCTACACAGAACAATTCAGGATAGTTTGAAAAATGGCTTTAGACTGATGTTTTACAGTTTTCTCAAATTATATACTGATGTAATTTTAATATATACATGACATTAAGATAATTGCATTTTAGAAGGCAATTACAAGCATTTTCCATGTATAAGGATCTGTAGATAAATAAAAGTAATGTGATTTTTCCCTTCATCATTGACATTATAATTATCAATTTGAATTCAAGTCATTGAAAACTTTTCCCAAATGGCACATTTACGTAAATGATTACAAATGTTGCTCACATTCCTTGCCTTAAGCATTTCAGAATGTCATAAGTGGTATTTCCAGTGATTCACTTATGAAAACCTAGAGCCTTGCATAGAGATCTCATATAATACATCTGATATGGAGAAGACCAGCAGTTATGACAGTAGATTCAGTGATGTAAGTTTCTGTGCTCTGGACATGTGTGGAGGAAGTAATGAAATTTTGACCTGTTGATTTGATAAATATCTAATCCCAGACCTCAGAATTACTTAAATAATTTCAACAAATGAATCAAAAATAAAAATAGTCTAACACTTTGATTCTTAAACTATAAAATTTTAGCTAAGAAATGTCTACAACTCTTCTCATAGATTATGATGATCTTCACTCCCCCAGTGACGTTGCTTTAGAACTTTAAAAGCAAGTAATTAAAGCTGTCTTTCAGCCAGACACCCAGAAGACAGGAAACTTCCTAATATCTGAGCTGCCAAATATAATCAGGAAAGCTTGGTCTTACAAGTCAGCAAATACAATAAGATTCGCTCCCATTGAGGATTCCCCTGCTGTTTGCTTCAATTTTTTTGTTCGCCATGATCGCAAGCTTTTTCGAATTCAGCATGCTATTTAACCAAGTTGCCACAAGGTGGTGGAAGTGTACCACGAAAAGCAAAAGATGGGACGCGCAGCTGTGTATTTACCGTAATGACAGTTAATTTTGCTAAAAATGACTGGGCTCCTTGTGCCATTATACCATTGAGCGATCACAATGTTCTGAGAAAGACATTACCTCCATTGTACAAATCACAAAACGACACTGCAGAAATTGAATGAATTGTGCAGTCACGATAGGCTTGCAGTTGGATGCAAAACTCTGTAGCGTCCTTAGGAACTGAGTGATACCATCACAGACCTGCATGGCTCGGATTCCTAAAGTAACGTTCAGATTAAGCACATCTATTTCCTTATACAGTTTATACTCAATAACATTGTTGTCTAAAATAACTAAAAGTAACTTCGTGGTGGAAGACAATTTTACAGCAGTTGCACTTTGATGTTTTATTGACGATTAGCTGATTATCAGTGTGTTTCTCACTCAGCCTCGTGTTAGACCTGGACAGGGGCGTGTCTGGGGCTCTGCCTGACGCACAGTGATGGCCTCTCCACTCCACCTGTGGTTTTCCCTTCCCAACTGAACTCACGTTCTGAACACAGGAAGCCATGTGTGGCCGGGATGTGGATACAAGGCTCAGGTAGCGCGGGGTGCAGAAGGAAATGTCCCGCCCTGATCTTTGCTCCCCTGGAAATGGGCTGTAAACTCGGGGCCCTCAAGTAACCTAATCATGAAGAGTCCACAGCTTCCTGGCTGACGGATTTGCTGACTTTGGGAAGAGAGAGTGCAGGTGTGTACTTTGCGCATTGTCTGTGCTGGAAAGTGTGCCAGGTGCTTTTATGTAACAACTGTGCAACGGCAGTTGCTACATAACTTATTTATGGTTTAGGACGCTGAAGGTCACAGTTTAAATAATTATTAATTTCATAAAACTATGGGATGACAAATCTCGTTTGCCTATAAAGGTCTGGTTCTAAACCTCCCAAAAGGTATCTACCTTTATTATCTAAATGCTTCCTGTTAATCTCATCTGTCCTCCTCCAAAGGAGGTTTCCTAAAAAGAGGGTTTCTGTTTTTATTTTTATTTTTCTTATCAAGAATTTTATTCTATATCATCCTGTTTGCTGGTTGACTGGATTTTTTTTAAGACACCTACAGGAAGCTGTAAAATTCTGTAAAAGATAATGGGATATTTCACTGCACTGGTGCATTTCTGTAAAAGGATGCTTTGATCTTGGATCATGTGACAGATGGATTCAGATGTGGGTTATGATGGGGAGAGATTAATCAAAGACGAAGCAGAGGCAAAAACTAGGTATGGCTGTGTCGCTGTGTAGCTGAGAGGCCCCCAACTCTACAGGAAGACCAGTGTTCTCGCTTCTCCATCTAGGTCTCCAGCAGCCTCAGAGACTGTGAGCTTCCGCTTAGTCATTGACAAGCTTGCCCTGGTTCCTGGCTGCTTTCGGTGCAGCAGCAACAGTTCCAGGGGCCTCCTGGATTAGGGGCAGGAACTTTCCCAGTCAGTGCAGGGAGACAGGACTGGTCATTCTGCTCACTCAGCCTGAGAATAGCAGGGTGGCCTTTTACCCATCTGAGACATCATCCTTCCTCTCTTCCTCTCCCCTCCCTCCCTCCCTCTCTCTCTCTTCCCCAGAACTGGGGATTGAACTCAAGACCTTAAACATGTGAGGCAATTATGAACTTGAATGGAACCGCATGTCTATTCCAATCCATCCCTTCCCATCCCAGCCCACACTTTTGATTTTGAGACCAAAATCTCACTACCTTGCTCAGACTGGTCTGGTCTCCGCAGTCCTTCTGCTTCAGCCTGCAGAGTAACTCGAATTGCAGACATGCACCATCCTGCCTGGCCCCGACATTGCTCCAGGACACCATTATCTTATCTCACCCCATTTTGAGAAAAGAGCCAAATAAAAGGCTAAAGGTTATCTTATAACATCTCAGAAAGCACATTATAGTCTTTACTATTACACCAAGTTCCACGTCCAGGGAAGTTTTGTACTACCACTTTCCCATGACGAGCTCTCAGCTGGTGGAGTATGGATGAGTCCCCTCCCTCCTTGCACCTTCATGTGTCATTTTCTGCATTACCTGGACGTAGCCTGTCTGCACTCAGCTTTCTCCAGGAAAGTGTGAGATTCTTAGAAGCCTGGTCTCGACTATCACTATTCCCTGGCACCAAACATATCGTTCCAGGCACAACACCAGCATTTCTTTAATCTTCATTAAGGGAGAAAACCCTGAACATAATCACTTTAAAGAAATAAGAATGTACTTGTAGAAACTGATTGCACATCATGGTTATACAAATACCAGAAGCTATCGCAACGTTACTGCTCTCACAGTTCCTAGCACTGTGACATTTCTATCAGCGTTTACTAACTCGCTACTCACTTTTAACGAACTCATTTTCAACCTTTAACAAAAGGTTATGCTTTTTGCCAAAATAGCAATATAAGTCTTTTCCTTGTCCTATTTTCATTGTAAAAGTTTTCACTTTTAGACTCTAGAGTTTCAGGGGCAGGACTTGACTACCAGCTGCTTTGACACCCTGCTGGACTTGATTGTTAGAGTAGACTCATCTGCGAAATTCTCCCTGAGGAATACGGGCTGCCCCGTGGCTGTGTCGAATCCCTTTCTCTTGTCACAGCTGGGGGCAGACACTGGCTTCTTCAGCGTGTTGCTTCTCACCATAGCTCAGTGCTACTCCAGTGTCTAACATTGCCAAGAAAGCTTTCTCATTAAAGTGACCTGAATCGGAATAGAGTTTAAAAATAAACATAGAAGCAAGCCAGGCACCCTATAAACCCAGTTCATGGGAGATTAAGGCAGAAGAATGACTGTGAGTTCCAGGTCAGCCTGGGCTGCAAAGTGAGTTCAAGGCCGGCCTAAACTGCGGTGAGAGCCTATCACACAAAAAACAAACGCACAAACACTTTACCTGTTGGATCTACATAATCCTCATCTTCCTCAAAGTCAGAAGTTAGAGCAGCAGGGGTGAGACTCAGCAGCAGACATATGGAAGCCAAAAAAGCGTGTTCTTTCTTCATTTTATAAATCATCTCTGAAATACAGAACCCAGACGTGTGTAATGTTAGTGATAGTGGGGACTGATCCCTAGGTTCTTATGGATGCTTCCCAATGCAAATTTCTGGGACACTTGACTTATGCTCTTATAAAACTCTCTCCAGAGTTCCACGAGTCAGATTTAAAATATATTAGCAGAGCAAACTTACAAATTCTCAGTTCATACATTTAATGATATTCAAGTATACATATCATATTTCAAAAATTAAATTAAAAGGGCAACACGACTAAGGTATGTTTTAAGGTTCATTTCATGCCCAATTGTACTATCTGCATCAGTCTCAGCTATTTTTCATTTTCAGTTAATTGTATTTTAATCTGTGCACATGCTTTTCTGGTGTATTCTTAATGCAGCGTTCACTTTCTGATTTCTCTGTCACTCTGCTCTCATCCTATTTTTAACTAGAAAGCACAGTTTGAGAAACTCCAACTTCGTTTCCCTCAGATCTATTTGTTTTACAACTAATTTCCTAGTTTGCAATGAGATAGAAGGCATGCAGGGCTGAAAACGAGAGAAATGCCTAATGTGGCCGCAGTCCTTTTCCCACGTCATCTCCATCTAGCTTCTGCAGTTATCTGTTTCAAAAGAGTTTCACAAAAAAAGAGCGTAAGTGAGAAGCCAACACACAGTCCAAGGGAAGCCGACCAGCAGAAGAGGGAGAATTTTCTTGTTTCAACATGTTTTAAAAATCCACAGCAGAAATTAATAACGGGAAAACACAAACAATTCTTTTTTAAAAAATATGCTTTCTCCTTTGGTTCCAAGGATAAAAGTAAGTGTATAATATTCACGCAGCAGGGGAAGAGGGAGGGAATTCACGCAGCAGGGGAAGAGGGAGGGAAAGAAACACAGGCTTCGGCTCAGCCGCTGCTGCAAACAGAGTTAGAAAAGAAGCAAGATGTCAGTGGCCAACACTGCAGGTGCAGAAGAGATACTCTCACAAGAGCAGCTCGGAGACCTTGGTTCTGTCTGCCTGTAGTCACAGACGCAACGTGGACCATTATTGCTGGTGAAAGCTACGCTGTTACGACGCAGATGTAAGAAGGAAGCCACACTGTAAGATATATTTAAACTAAATAAGGACAAAACACACACACACACACACACACACATACGCATTTTACTTTAAACATCATTAAGAGCACTTGTACAATGTCTGACATATTCCTCATGACGTATTGGAAATGTTCACACGTTCAATTTTTTAATCAGTAGCAGTGATATAAACCTTGAAAATCAAACCATACACTATGTGAAATCATAAATATTTATGTCGCATCATATAGATTTTATATATACACATGCAGGCATATACATACACAGAAATGATTTTGTGTGTTTTTTTACAGAAATTATTTTGAATAATCTTTCCACTAAACTTCTAGTCTTTACCTTAATGTTGAAATCACTTTTGATACGCTCTATTTCCACTTCAGTCTGTGATATGCACAATCCTAATATAAATTTTGTTTCTTTTAAAAGTTCATTGTTTATTGGTACATTGTAGGTGTACAGTATGATAACAATCATCACTGGGAATTTGTAGCTTTACATGATGTATCTTGGTTCTTATTTTTTTCTTCCCATTCCCTGCCCTCCATCCCTTTATAGTTTGAGGATACTATACAGCATGTCTTTTCCATCACCTGGGTTAGGAAAGAGGTTGAGGTTAGGTGCTCACTAAAGAACTTGAGAATTGGGGCTCTGAATCCATCAAATTTCTCCATTAAAATGTAGCAGCCTATGGCTGAGGATTTGGCTCAGTGCTGCCGCTGCCTGCCTCGCAAACACAAGGTCCAGTGTACAGAAAAACACAAAAAACAATAGCCTTAATGTTGCCTAAACTTAGTCATTTGCTCTCTCTTTGGTCTGGTTGTAAGATCCAAGTCCAGCTTGGAAAAATTCAGGTTGAAAAGTTATTACCCATTCATTCTAGGAAATGTGGAACTGTCTAGAATTAGAGGAACAGGTTCACGTTAGATCCTGGAAACCTTAGGGCTAAGGTGTCTTTCTGTCTCTTCCTTCACAAAAATGTTAGTTCACCTGATTCAGCCTACTCTTCTCTCCACAGTGGAAAACAGCCACTTTTCATTCCTGGAGTTTCAGTCACAAAGATTATTCCATCCAAAGGGGATTAACTTCTCTCTTATCCAACAGGTCCACACAGCTTAAGAGTAGCCTGAGCGGTTTGATTCTGTAGCATGGCATTCTTCCTGACAGTAGCTTTGAAGTGGGGAACTGTGCACTTGCATGGATTTAACGGACCCTAAACCAAAGTTAGTGGATCCTAAACCAGGCAGAGGTCTGGAATAAGAAAATGGAATAACGCTGAGAGTCTTAATGGAGTTATATGGTTCTGGTGGTGGCGTGAATAAGTGTAGCTTCTAGAAGGAGGGGAAAGAGTGTTGGACTACGTACATCAGCAAGCCACAGCTAGCATGATTTTTTTTCTTTTTCTTGAGTGTACTGGTACATTTTAGGTATACAGTACAGTTACATTCATTATTGAGATCTTGTACCTTTAAACATGATTTTTAAAAATAATGCTACAAGTAATTTTTTCTGACCCCAGCATCTACTTACATAGGGAGTTAAAGCGAACTACTTTGGGTTTATTGTTGCAAAGAACAAATATTTGGGGAAGTATTTTGAGGGCTCATCTCCAGTTATAAAGAAACAACTTGTCCGCATTTCAATTTATAAAAAATAGATTTTTTCTAGATTTACAGAAAAATTGAGCAGAGTTGGATGGGAAGCTGGAAGGTGGGGGTTGCTTTTTCCCACACTGGTTCTAGTCTCTCTGGGTCCACCTGGGACAGGCCAGGGAAGCATATGTCAAATGAGTCTAACAAACAGTACCACAGTTTCACAGCTTCTGGCTGAATTTAAGAACTAAATAAATGAAAAATTCACTCCTTATTCGTGGATTGGAATATTTAATAGTAAGATGGCGGTCTTCTTCAGTTTGATCTATAGATTTAGCATAATCTGTATCAAATCCTCAAGATATTTTTGCTGCTGTTGCTGCTATTGTTGTTGCAAAATTATGAGATTGGACCCCTTCCTTGTGCCATGTATAAAAATTAACTCTACATAGGTCAATGAGCCTAATAAAACTTCCAACATGCTTACAAAACAGGAATACATTCTTGGTATTTCATGATCAGAAAAGCCTCTTAGACATGATACCAAAAGTACAAGCAACTTAAGAGTAGGGCCTCAGTGCAACTAAAACAGCAATATATTAGACTCAATAAGATTGTAAAATTATCCTACAAAGTGGCGCATGAAGAAAATGAAAAGAGAGCCTACAGAAGGAGAGAAGACATTACCAATGAAAATATCTGATAAGGGACTTACAACTAGAACACGCCCTCTGCATCTAAGGATCAAACTAACTACAAATAGAAAATATTCCAGAAAAAATGTGCAGGCACAGATTTTCATTTCTTGCCATTATTTCCTAAACAATACAGCATAAGAGTGGCTTACATAATATTTATGTTGTATCAGGTATTATAAATGATTTGGAGATTGAAGTATGCGAGAGGAAGTATGTAAGTAATACTTAATCTTGTGTCATTTTACATAAAGAATTTCTGAACTTGCAAATTTTGGCACCCTTAAAACCTATCCTTGAACCTGTCTCACAGATACAGAGGGATGACTATATATTAAAAACTCTTACATATTAATGAGAAAATGATAAATGGCCCAGTTAAAAACTGGGTAAAAGATGGGGCATGGCAGTACACCCCTATAATCTCAGGTACATGGCAGTCTAATCAGGAGGATTGCAAGTTGAAGACACAGATTCTGTCTCAACATAAAAATATAAGGCATACTGTCAGTAGTCACTGAGTTCTATGCAGAAAAAAGTAAAGGGTATGAACTTTACTAAATAATATATTCAAATGAACAATAAGAATATGGAAAGATGTTTGACATCATTAATCACTGGGGCAATGAAAATAAAAATCTTAAAACATGGCTTCACACATGTGAGGCAGGTTATAATCAAAAAGTCAGATAAGCAATGCAAGGATTCTGTTCCAAAGTACATACTGATGCGAACTGAAAACATGTCCATACAAAAACGTGTCCACGGATTTCATGGCAATATTATTCATTATAGTCAAAAACTGGAAACAGTCCAAATGTTTAACTGAGGATGGACTCGTAAAAGTGGTAGATCCGTACCACAGAATACAGGACGGATACGTACTGGTACCTGTACAACATGGACAAATCTTGCAAACTCTGTGGAAGTGAAAGAAGAGGCCACCATAAAAGCCCAGCTACCGTGTGGTCCATTTTGTATGAAGTATTGAGAGCGGGCGAAGCTATGGAGGCAAACAGCAGGCTTATGGTTGCCTGGGGCTGGTGGAGTTGGAGGAGGACTGGGGAAATTGTTGGTTCATCTGGAGCTTCTTTTTCTGGGCATAAAAATATTCTCAGGCTGGGTAGTGGTAATAGTTGCATAACTGTGATTAGAGTGCTGACATTCATAAATCGTACACTCTTAACAGTGAATTTTACAGTATATACATTGTACCTCAATATAAGGCCATTTAAAAAGCAAAAAAGGAAAATTTAGAAAGTAATTCTCTCATTTCATAGCCTCTCTTTCTGTTGATGTTTTCCTTTGCTATACAGAAACTTTTCAGTTTTATGTTAGTTCCACTTGCTTATTTTTGCTTTTGTTTCATATGGTTCTGGTCCCATATCCAACAATTCATTGTCAATATCAATGTCAAATAATTTTTCCTTTAGTTTTCTTCCAAAAGTTTTATCATTCCAGGTACTATTTCATCAAACTTCTAAAGGTACAGAGTTCAATAGTGGTTTTCGGGGCCCAGCGGGTGAGAAAAATAGGAAGTTGTTTGGTGGCTCTAAAGTTTAAGTTGTAACAGATAAATTCTAGAGATCTTTTGTGAAACACGGTGCTTATTGTTAATACTGCTCAGGGCTTCAAC